CGAGCTATACCTTTCTCTTGGGCATGGAGGTAAAGATAAATTTATTTTAGGTATTGCAGACATGTGCTGCTTCGAAAACAAGCTTCCAGAAACTGGTAGCAAATAGAAATCCAAAAGGCAGCTATTAAAAGTGAACAGTATTTTTGGTCTACATAGCACTAGTGAGGTCCATCACATCAAGACAAAGCAAACTGCCTGGATAAGAGTAATCTTGCACAGCATTGTCTTCTGGATGTATGCATGATGCGACATCTTCTGAGATCCTAAATTTAAAACAAACAAAAATATTCCTTCCCAGCATGCCAACAAGATCTGGGTTTACTAAGAATTACATGGTAAAAATTTAGTAAGGCAAGCAACTGTACATACCCTAAACAGAGCAACAAGTAGGTACAAGCCACTTGCAAATCCTACCAATACTACATCTACTGAGAACCTCATAGGGGTGTGGTAATTCTAAAACCACATACTTCTTTCTTTCTAAAATTACATATTTGCATTCTATTTAGAAAGCTTTTTTTTAAAGGGAGGGAGAATAAGAAGGTTCGACCTTGCCATTAATGAAATATTTCCTGGAAATATTTAATAAATTATCCTACCCACAAAACTCACAGCAAACAAGTCTTCATCTTCCTCTATAAATATCAGAAAATATATGTGTAAACAGACACAATTCATGCTTTTACACAATATGGAATGGAACCATGCCCTAGACACATTTTGGTAAAGCTAATCAGATAAGTTGTGCTCTTTTTAAAAAAATATTTTACAGGTTTCTTCTCATTGCAATGGAAGGATAGAGACTGTTCTTTGGACACAAGTACTAGTCCCACATTATCTTGCAATTAGAGGTTGCTATCCATCCCATAGGAATGTCCAGCTGATCACAAAGACTATACTGAATATGTATTTGTCTTGGCCCCTTGGTTAGAAACAATAGTCACTAAAAACACCAATCAGAATCACAGAAACCAACCAAGGGAAGTATCTTTTAGCTAGCAGTTCTTACCCCTTGTTGAGTTGCCATCCCCTTAAAAAATAGTCCATAAAAACAGTAAAATCTGACAAGGGTTCCTTGTTTTAGTGCTTCTTTACAAATTCCTGAGAAATAAATAATGGATTCTCATTGCTCCCTGGTGCTGATGCTAAACATCACTCTTTCCAGTCAAGTTGTCCAACATTAAATTTCCAAACTTTAGATGCCAAATACATGTTAATAAAGAATTGGAGGGTACTTTCATTTGTTGCCTTATTGTAAAGACGTTTAAAAATAATGAACTCTTTTCTCCTCTCTCTTTTCTTAACACTATGCAGTTAAAATAATAGTCACAAAAACAAAGCAAAGGCCTAAGAAAGATTTTTTCCTCTGAGAAGTAGCCAACTCAGTGGAAAAGCCTTAGGACTCTGACCTGACCCATCTCCTGGGAAACATAAGGTTATTCCCCATTCGCCATATATTTTTCTGTAATTTAATTCATTTTAATGTTGCCTGAATTGAACAATTGATATTTTATCACTTCTCATGGCAGAAACTCATTAATAGACCACTATTTTCGGTGCCACTGGAAAGATGACTGTGTGCTACTTGTAATTACATAATAATTACATTAATTAATTTATTTATTTATTTCTTTATTTATCTCCAAATAATAGCATAAATTTCATTTGGTCTCTCCCACAGTATTAGGTAGTGAAATGCCAACATCAAAAAATAATTATGAATGTACATAATACCAAATTATGCATCAACACAACTGCAGTAATTACAAGTACTACTCTTGTATTCCAATGTGGCCCTGTGTCGTGACAGATTAAAACATTAATCTCTACTATGCACTCGCCAATAAATCCTTGTCAATCAAGGTGACCCAATCTCAGAAGATGCAGAGAGTGGAATTTAACACGCTGAGACTGTTCAGTGTGAGCCCAAAATTTACAGCCTTGAAAACATACAAACATTAGAGACATTTGCTTTGGTAAAGCAGTATGGATGTATTTAATCTTTCCTGCCTCAACTTAATCTGACAAAGCCAATGAATGGAAAACTGTAACCATTCTGTGCAGTCTTCCCTGGTGAGGTGATTGATCAGCTGCATCACAATATGAGTTAGAAAGCTTTGCCAGGTGAGATTCTTGTCTCAGAAATCTGCAAAGCTGGGATATTTTGTAACCACCTTTAAAATACAGTGTACACTTCCCAGAGCCAGCATCTATTTATGTTGCAAAACTAAGCTCACTAGCAACCAGTAAATGAATATTTCTTGGATTAATTTGGTGCCTTCTTTCTGTGTGAAAAGAATTGCATGTTATTCCATACAACTTCATCTGAAAATAACTGGTGTTTGATAGAGTTATCATGATTACTATCCATATATTATTTATGAATGTGTGACCATAAAAGAAGCATCTCTAAATGTGATAGTGAATTACTGAATGCCTTTTCAGTGGTATCTTAGGTGAGTATTTTTAACCAAGCCCTTCCAGATATATGTAACTTATTCCCCACATACCTTTTTGATTCTCTAACATCTAGACTTAATGCTTCTTTTTTGCATCTGGGATGAGACTATCTCTGCAGTATTTGGGAATCTCCAAGCAAATTCAAGTGTTCACCCCTATCTGCATAAAGGAGACAAAAAGACTCACAAGCTGAGCTGCTGAGAGTAAGAAAGAGTTGTCTAAATATTTCTTATCCTGAGATCTAACTGTGGTGGCAAACATTCTCCTGTAGTGTTTATCCCTTAGACACTTCCTTCCAAAATCCCTGACTCCAGCCTTCCTTTCATCTGAATAAAGTGGGCTGCTTCAGTGAGTTTACACTCCAATGTATTTGTTTCCCAACTACATAAACACTTGACAGCAAACACTGTGTTTCAAACAATTGCTAAGACTGGTACAAATACCCTCTAAATGGTGTCAGAAGATCTGCTGTTCACTGCAATGTTTACCACAACAGTGCCTGAAAAAGTCAAATATCTCCCTCAGTTATTTTCTGTCTCCTATAGTCTTATCTTACCCAGACTGTGATCTCTTCAGAGTAGGAACTGTCTTTATTTTGAATTTTGCATGATAACAGGTAGAGTGTCAAAGCTCAATGGTTAACAAACTCCGTTAAAGACAAATCTCAGCAGAAGGCATACAGCACTGCAAAGGCTGGATTTTTTCTAAGGAAGCCCACATGAAACTTTGGACATACTGTACTTTGTTTTACATGCAAATTCCCATTCTAAACAAGCATACAAAAAAGATGAACACGAATTGAGCACGTTTGCACATGCAAGGGCTAAGAATCTTTGTCAAACGAGTATAACCAAACTACTCTATTTTTGAGAAGCTGTAGTAAGTACATTTCTTTTAGCCATGTATATATAATTTCTTTTTCCATAGATACGTAATCACAGACTTTCACTAAGGAATATTATGGAGGCAGCACCACCTAGTGGTACCAAAACCACAGTGTAGTATTTTCAATGGCTTCCTTGAAGAGAATTCCATTGGAAACATAGAAAAAACTCTCAGATGAAATTATTTTTTTAAATACCCACATGACACCTACATGTTTTTGTCTCTTTTTTTTTTTATTCAGCAAGAACATGAATAAATAATGTTTGCAAGGTCTTGGTATACATGTACATATTTTCCGTTGTAAGTACCCTTTGAAAGGGAAAAAGGTATGTGAATGTGTGTATTAATCACAGAGGATAAAGTATGTTTCTTTTTATTGTACATATATATAAAAATATATTTTTTAAATGATCAGGTATTAAAACAGTTACTACTCACACCTTTTCTTCCAACTTTATTATTTAATACTGCAGGTATAAGATTTAGATGAAAACCTGTATAGGAATAAGAAATATCTAGCAGCTTTGGACCACTTAATATTTTCTGACGTGCATTCCAGTGAGCCACATTTTATCTTGCTTCAACATATACAGTCCACACAGAGCCAATCACTTTGCAAAAATCAGAAGGGTTCAATGCGTAAAACCAGTTGTTTTCCACAGTGACTGTATTAGCATATGTATTTACATCTGTGCTAAGTAGCTGTACAGGCTGTGACTATCACTTGGTAGCACTTTAAATCATCCTGCCATCTGCTTTTCACACGGCCCTGTAAATCCTCTATTAACACTTCTGTGACACTTCAGGAGGTGAAAAACTCTCCAGTGCATCTGCTACCATGGGAGCCTGCCTGTGCAAACTAACACTGCTCTGGAACACTGAGAACTGGGGATTTGTTATAGCTCTTCTGAGTTTTTCTCTGGGCATGGACAGGGTAAGTTTGGCATTAGCAAATATGTAACTCTTAGTAATTATATGATAGCATTTTTTAGAGTTATGAGCATTATGTGAGAACATAACATAGGAAGGAAAACCTCAATGATCAAAACTACCATTTTTATATTTATCATGTGAACAGTAAACACATCAGGCACCCAAACTGCTCTTGCCTCATCCCATTTCTCTCAGCCTGCCCCATCCTCCATGCAGTCCACAGCCCACCTCTCCAGTTCCTGAACTTTGACCTCATGTGATATTTGGTATGGCCCCACAGACACCACTCTGAGTGGCTCTCCCACTCCCGTTCCCAGTCCCATGTAGCAGCATAGCTCTTCTGTTTCTAGCTCCAAATAGAGGAGTTTGATTTTTTACACTTCTTATTCTTTGTATCATTAACACTCTTCTATGTATTAAGCAATTAATCAAAACATTAACATTAGACTCAGTCCTAGAGTATTTCTTGAGTAACTTTGCCAGTATCTTTCCTCCAGAATGACAGTACCTTTAACATAATATTATCTTTCTTTCTGCTAGGTCATTACACACTTGAAATTCTTGTAAAAATCCCCATATTTTCTAGCTGCACTAGTAATTTCCCATGAAGCGGTGAACCTTCCAGTTCTATCCAACAAGTTAAAAACTTTAATATGCTAAAGAAAAATACAATTATAAATAGTCATTAAAATAAGACTCAGAACTTGTAAATTCTGTATAAATATTTTATTATATATAAAAGACAACTTACATGGATACAAAACCACTGAATGACATTAACATGTGTGAATTTACTTTTAGTTGTTTTGGGTTTTTGTTCTTTTTTTTCAATGCATGTGTTATTACTAGAAGTCTTTCCAGGTAAAAGGAGATTCCCGGTGCAAGAAGGAATTTTTTCAGTATATATTTCCATATGTGTAAATAACTATTATAGAAGAGATAATTTCTCTTACATACTGCTACAACTAAGGCAGAACGTAATACTTCATCATTTTGCCAAATACCTACAAACCAGACAACAAGCATGTTTAAACATCCATAAAATGAAAGTCTGTTTCCATGAAAATCGCATAAGTATTTCCAAAATATCTGAGTCTCACTTTCTGTCAGAAAATCTCATATTGATGGAGTTTCCAGGAACCAAAAGTCCGTGGGTTTTGGCATGAACAGGTTTGGTTTTAGGAGAAATTTTGATCTCAAAATTCTGAAGTAACTGTGAAGATAAACAGGACAAGTATTAGAAAAGCTGCAAAATTACAGATGAAGATTAACCTTTGAAAAAAAAGGACTTAACAGACTGTCACAAAAAAAAAAATTGTGTTGCAGTTTCTGTGGAGCTGAAGTGTATGATTCCCATGCAGGAAAGAAAAAATAGTTGTTACAAGGTAAAGATTATAGTTCAAAATCTTCCTCCTCTGATTGAGGGAAGACTGGTCCAGTTCTTTCTGAGGAACTTCCACATAACTACATTAAACAGTCTGCGTTATCAAAGAAACTAAGGTCTTTTTCAAACTTTGTGAGGTTCATCTCTATCTATTTCAGATTTCACTTCCTTTAATATCAATCAATATGTACAACTATAAAGAAAGCAATAAGAATCCCAATCCCATCAGACACATTTATCTTCCTGGGCAGACAGAAACAAACCAAAAATGAGAAAAAAACTGTCCAGTGCACCAAGTGAAACAATCATAAATCAAGGAGTCAAATATTAGAACCTCTCCTGAACAGAGTCACTATAATTTCATCACACAATTCCTCTATGCATTAAACCTCTTAATGAAACTGAGATAATCACTTGCAAACATAAATTATTGTGCTTGTTTTGGCTGGGATAGAGCTAATTTTCTTCACAGTGGCTGATATGGGGCTGTATTTTGAATCTGTGCTGAACACAGGGGTGATAATATAGAGATGTTTTTGTTATTGCTGAGCAGGGTTTACACAGAGCCAAGGCCTTTTCTGCTTTTTGTGCTGCCACGCTGGCGAGGAAGCTGGGGATGCATGGGAAGCTGGGAGGAGACACAGCCAGGACAGGTGACCCCCACTGACCAAAGGGATATTCCAGACCATATGACATCACACTTGGTATATAAAGTGGGGGAAAGAAGGAGGAAGGGGGGATGTTTGGAGTGATGGCATTTGTCTTTCCAAGTAACCATTACATATGATGGAGCCCTGCTCTCCTGGAGATGGCGAACACCTGCCTGCCCATGGGAAACAGTGAACGAATTCCTTGTTTTCCTTTGCTTGTGTGTGCAGCTTTTCTTTCCCTATTAACCTGTCTTTACCTTAACCATGAGTTTTCCAGCTTTTACACTTCTAACTCTCTTCCTGATCCCGCTGGTGGGAGAGTGAGAACCATGAAAATCATAGAAATCATGGGCTAAAACAAACTTCAAGAGATTTATCTCACACATTTTGAAGCTGAACAAACAATACACCAGCTATCTATTTTTAAACTTTCAGGAGGGAAATACCATGACTTCCTCAACTTTTCCTAATATTAAACATGGAAGATAGAAAAATTCTACTATTTGTTGTCACACTGTGATCAGTACAAGGATATAAAATCTATTTTACATCTCTGTAAGTACTGAATTCTTCTAAGATACTGAAACTGAGCAGATAGCCATCCTAATAGACATTAAGAAAGACTTCTGATGCACTTACAAAAACCTTCTGTACCAAATCCGTTTCCTTAACAATCTTACCTTTAGTTTTACTTCATGTGTACTATATATTTTTTTCCTTCTGCAATGTAGTTTAACAGTTATGCTACATTTCAAGCATGACTGTTTTCAATTTTTTAAGCCTTTGCAGTATAACTACATTAGACAACACTCCAAAACAAGGTTTTTGAGCACTGTAAGACACCCAGAAATGGTATATGCAGAAAAAAAAATTCATATCAATTTATTTTTCTTCTTGTGATGCTGTCACACGGTTCTGACCTGAATCAGTGCAAGATGAATTTCCAGCTCTGCAATTCTTTTCCCAATACAGCTTCGAATTCCGTAGCCAAAGGGGATGGAACCAAAGTTGTCTACTCTGTCCAAGTTATCTTTCCTCAGCCAGCGCTCAGGTCGGAACTCGTTTGCCATTGAGAAATATTCCTCGCTGTATGAAGTAGTATAATGACAAAGTGCCAGCTGTGTCTGAGGAAACAAATTATATTCACATTTAGCTAACTTCAATACACATAACAAAATTAAAATGCAATTACTGTAATTTCTGCAATATGAGGTGATAAAAATTAAGTATCTCTGAGTAATTCTAGAAGATAAAAGGATATCTAGAAAAATCAAATCCCTTTCTCAACTCATCAGATGAAATAATCTTCAAGTTGTTTTGAATGTTGCTGGGTATATTAGAGAAGATGCAGTGGGGAAGGTGAACAAAAGTCACAAGAATGAAGAATTGTTTCAAAAAGCTGGTATGAGAGAAAGGGAGGAGAGATTTGAGTCAATGGAAAAGGAAAAAAGAGAGGATAGGAATTAAAAAACCCTACAACACTCGGGGTGGGGGGGGAGGAGGGGGGAACAAAACCCAGCAATAATTGATGTCATGATGTTCCCAGTTAAGGGGAGGGAAGCAGGGGGAAGATTTGTGTAGAATAATATATTACCAATTAAGAATCCTGATTCTTTCACAGGTGCATTGCTATAACACGGGAGTGCTGTCATTTAGAATAAAATCATACAATTCTAGCCTGATCTCTGTGTAATCTTTGAACAGTATAAAGGAAAGATTAATAATTTAAAAAGGAAATTAAACTCTTTCTACAAGAAGAGTTAACAGGCAAAGAATTAGAAAACTGCAAGGATAATAAAGTTCATGCTTTTTTAATTGAATTGTAGAACTACATAGATTTTTTAATAGACTCCACCCTCAAGAACATTAAGAACAAGTCATGATAATAAGTTTGATTACTGGGTGAGCACCCAAATAAAAAATACGAAAACAACAGCAACAAACCAATTATATAATCCATTCATGGAGTATAAATGGGTGTTATTGAAATACTTTCCTCTCAGTGTTTTCGACCGGTAAAATCTTTTAAAAATCAATGGAGTGTATATATGTTGTAATAGATCACATTTCATACACAAAAATTAAACTCTGCTCTTTGCTGAGGGCTGCAAAAAAACCTACCCCTTTAGGTATAAAGTATCCTCCAACGATCAAGTCTTTTTGGGTCACTCTTCCATTTCCTGGCAATACCGGATATAAACTAGAGAGAAATATCCATCAGAAGTTCAATAGTAATGACTAATGCAATTAAAAAACATTCAGATCCCAATTTGCATTAACAGATACATGATACGAATGCCATATCCATTCACAGCAGAAAGGTTTTTCAAAAGTACAGAACACCTTGGAGATTCAAGGACCTTGAATCATCTGTGAGAATATGATCATTACCTGAGAAAAGTTATTTACTAGTAACAGGAGGTTGAGATATTTGGTCTATATATTTATTTGTTTTACACACGTACAAGCATGCACTTATTTGGTCAAGATGGATACATTTTAGCACTACTGCTAAAGCTGAAAAAGCCTTGTTGATGCCTTCTCTAAAATTCTCTTATTCCCCTCCCCTCACAATGAAAATTTATTATAAACATATTAAAAAAAATATATCACATGCCTTTAATTTAAATCAAGAAGCTTAAAATCATTGAAGTGACACTGCAAACTACCAACGTTGGGGAGGGGATTGTTACACTTCATCCTACAAAGGGCAAAAATCAAGCTTGCAATTACTTACCTTAACAGACATGTCCTACATTTGTGATACCACTTCTACCTTACTTACATAGATTAAACATTATATAGTCTATCATATTCATCACTTAAGCATCCTTGGACACAATACTGCTACAATAAATAAGAGCAACAAATAGCAATAAGGACAATTGAATACAAACTTATGTACATAGCACGGACTCAAAGTCCATTAGAAAAAAAAGAAATTAAATTTTTCAGTTTATTATTACAGTTGTCTGCTACTTACCGCAAGGTTTCTTTCAGCACGGCTCTAATCAAAGGCAATTTCGGGACATCATGAGCAACAGGAACTTGATCTTTGCCCAGCTTGTTGACTATTTCCTCATAAACACATTGCTGAACCTCTGGGTGCTTTGCCAACAAGTATGTTGCCCAGGACAAAGTAAAAGAAGTCTAAGGAAGAAACCACAATCATCATCATCGAGCACAACAAAAGTAGATATAAAATAACCTCAAGCCAAGAAAAACAATCAGTTTTCAACTATATGTTTTATATGTTTAAAGTTTTATAACAGACTGGCAATGATTCGTATCTGGATTCAATGGGATGTTGTAAGACTTCACCATCCCCTCCTTCATCCCTTTTCCATCTAAAAGTGCCCCATATACCGAAACAATCCATGTTGATATTTTCCCAGTGAAATATAAAAAGCAATAGACAAACCAAATGCAAATGCAACTATGTAAACAATATTGAAACATAAACATTCTAAAGAGCAATGGATTAGGTTAACTGTTAGTTTTCAGTATGTTTTACCTTCCTCCCAACAAAAACACTTCACAGGAACTAAGATAAGAGAATACTTTTATTTACTTAGTGTTAAAATCTTTTTTCAGGCCAGGACATGGTTGGCTTTCTGGGTTGTAAGCACGCATTGCCAGGTTAATGTTGAGCTTCTCATACACCAACATCCCCAAGTCCTTCTTTTCAGGGCTGCTCTCAATCCGTTCTCCACCCAGCCTGAATTTGTGCTCAGGACTCCCCTGGCCGTGGTGCAGGACCTTGCACTTGGCCTTGTTGAGCTTCTTGAGGTTTGCATTGTCCCACATCTGAAGTCTGTCCTTCTGGGCAGCATCCAAATAGTACAACAAAGCTCAAGGTTATTAAAAAATGTGTGGGTAAAAAAAAAAAAAGCAGCTTCTGGAAATGCCTTATTTTGGTCTTATGTTTTAAGATCAATTTCGAATGCATGATGTCATCATGATGGTGACCTTTTATGTCTTGTCTTCAGACTGGGGTATAATGCCAGAAGTATCATTCTCTCAAGCTTTTCTCTTTTCTCTTGCAATATTGAGTGGCTGTGTAGTCTAAAATACAACCATGTTCTATTCTGCTCAGAGGCAATTGTGCCAGCTGTACACAGAACTTCTCTGATATAAACACTGTTACTTCCCAGGTTCCCAGCTCCTTCATAACCTCTTAAAAATTAGCACTATTACAGGGGCAGACAAAATGCTTTGTAGCCAAAAACTGCCTTACAATTTTGTTGAAAGCTTCTATAATCCTCTAAACCTCTTTCAGTTTTTTCAATAAAATGAGATCTGAATTGACAGAAGAAGGAGAAAGAAAGATTCCCTAAATTTTTGCTTTGTGCTTGGAAATGAGGAAATCAGAAGTACTGTTCTCTCACAGAGACAGTTCCCAGATGTGAAAGCTGAGTCAAATGGAAAGAGAAATTCTTGTTGGCATGAACTTGAACATTGTCCTTTTAGTTTAAATAAAACTCTGTTGCATACTAAAAAAAAGGAAAATTATTGGTCTGAAAGATCAGAAAATGAATGGGATGAATAACTGTACTTTACTTAAGAACCAAACATAAAAAAGATCTGCAAATTCATAAGCCCTTGGGATATTTAACCAATGGAATAATATTCAGCACATAAGGAAGTTTTACATATGCTCCTTATTTTGGAATTCAAAAATGATTGCTTTTAGGGGTTTTGTTTTCTTTAGAAACCTTTCAAACGTTCTTAAATCAAAAAAATCTGAATTCAGTTATCCAGGTTTGGGTTTTTTTCCCCTAGAGGCCATTTTACTTTTTTACTTATTTTAGTCTTTTCTTCTCTAAGACTACTAAACACAATCCTACATAGCACTTTCTTTATCAAATTAATATAATTCCTTTTAAAAAACTGTTCAGTTACAATCATTTACAATAACAGTGTTCACTGATATTCTAAATAATTCTCTATATTGTATATACAATAACTCATTTCTATCTTTCCTGAGTCTTCGGATTGTCACGCTGCAGTCAATACTAAGCTACACTGATTTCATACGATAGGAATGAGAGGAGGGGAAGATGCGTATGTGACCTTAATGTTTATGTTTCTTCAAATGGTCTATATGACAAATCAGAAAAATAAAGAAAGAGAGACACTTAAAACATTTCCCTAGGTGTCAACATATTGGATACACCAGCCCCATTAGTCCTGAGACCCCTACCACAGCTCTTTGCCTCACCCTGACTGTATGTTGCCAGCACAAGCAAGGGTAGGGTGAACTTATGCCTTACCCACATCAGTGCTGGTCTAACAACCCCCTCCTAATGGACTCCAGCAGAAAGCAGATATCTGATCCATGATGTGTGTCCCAGTCGATTTAATATGTGAAAATCCCTTTCCAAATTCTACATACAAGTTTATTGATCAATTTTTTTTTTCACACTAACTTTCAGCAGCCTTTTCTATTTTGGTTTATCTAAAGAAGACAAATACCAACCTGTTATGCAAACCAGTAAAAGAAAACCTGTAAAATTCAAGCTGAATGTAAAGAAAGTTGCTATTTCGTATGTTTAATAAACTGTGGAACTGACTCCCAAGTGATGGGTTCCTGTAAACCACAGCTAGAAGAGAACACTGACTCCATTCCAGTAGAGAGATTACACAGTGCAGTAGCTATTTTGTATTACTTAAAGATGTCATGACTTAAATGTGTTAAATTATGTGTTTATAAACAAGCTATCTCTAAAGATAGCTGCAAATGATACTGGTTTACAAAACAACCATGCACAAGGAAAATTATAACAAGCTTACTGTGTCCACTCCTGCCAGAAGCATTTCAGTCATATTGGCATAGATCTCTTCCAAAGTAAGTTCCTTACTCACTAGGAGGTATGTAAGTAGCCCACCATTCACTACTTTTCCTTGGTCCAGCTGAGACTGAATAGCCTTCAATTTGTTGTTAACATGGATCTGACCTTTGGGATTCAAAAAAATTGTTAAGTGTCCATTTTTATTTTTCTGTTGGTTCCATTCAGTAATGACATTTCTCCCTCATGCTACATTACACTACACAGCCAGAAGAAAAAAACCAAAATGAATCTTCTTTCTCAAGTTAAAAATAACTGAGAGGTGGTGGAGGTCCTTGGGTACTCGTGGTAAGGAAAGACTGAGCTAACGGGAACCTCAGGAGCTCACAGCACAAGAATGCTGAGCACAAAGAAAGGATACAAGAGATTACAGTTTCTAACAGGGAGAGAAGAAGGCTCAAGGTCAAGTTTTTATGCCCACCTGGCTTGTTTTCTGATGACTCTGCAAGAAGTGGTGAACTCTGCAGAGCCTGCTGCAACTCAGCACAAAGGCTGCTACAAGACATTAACAGCAACCAGAACTTAATTACTCTGAAGACAAAGACGAGTTGCGTCAAATAATAACAAAAATTGAAAAACTTCAAGGGATGACATGTTGAGCAATTTCGCCCGGAGTCCCATTTATACCTTAGAGACTACAAACATTATCTTCAGTCAAATCAGGGTTTTAAAAAGAAGAAAAATCTCAGAAAGTTAATGCCACACAGAATGAGACAACAAAAAAATGAAAATGCATGCAGCTTTCTAACATTCAGGGTTCAGGTTTTTTTAACACTCTGGAATATTAAAAAAAAAAATTTGCAAAGACAACTCCTTCTTACTTACATGAACTTACATGCAAGCTGATTCATAAAGTAGCCTGGAATGTTTTATTTACAAAAAAACCCCATATTGTACTACAGCAGTGTACTTCTATGTCAACTTATATGCTTGTATGTATGTAAATAAACTTCACAAAGAGTTTAATTCATTGTTAGAGTGTAATTTTTTAGCTTTCTAGTCAGTTTTAGTGGTGATTATTTGTCGGAGTGTCTAACTAAAATTTTGCTGAAGTCAACAAAACTACCCTCATTAGAATTGGAGTGACTTAAGATAAAACCTTGGCAAAGAATTTGGACCTGAAGCAACGACTGGGGGTTGAAACAGATGAGGACAAATAACAAAACAACTGTATAAAATAGGGAAGTATTTGAAGTGTACTGGTAAAATTCTTTCTCATTAGATTTTTTTTTAAAATAGTTCCCTGGCCAGTCTGCATTTGATGTGAAATTTACTTCTGCCACAATGCCTTCTTATAATTTTAGGAGAGAAATGCATCTTGTCCCATTCAAATACACATAGAACCTTCAGAAATACAGCTGAACTTTTCTACTACTAAATCTTACTAAATTTGAAGAGTCCATCCCAGGATCTGCAGAACTCTCTCCAGGGTTTTGGAATAAGAGGACGAAGCCACTTGGGCATAGCACCTGCATACATAGTGATCTTAAACATACTAAACATCAACTCCAGAGCCTTAATATATTCAACAGTCTGCTGTGGGATGTTGTTTTCCAGGCAGCCCAGACGGCATTCATACAGAATAGTCGCCACACCTGCACATACAAAATCAAAGAATTGGCTATACACATGCATAAATACATATTAATAATATAAGGAATTAAAATACTAACATGAGGGAACCACCTTACAAGAAATGTTTAGTTATTATTACTACAGTTGGAGAACAGATGAAACAGAAATTCAAAAGGCAGTGAAAAATCCCTGCTAGACATTGTAGCAGACAGTAGTTGCTATGTCAATAATGCTCTGCATGAGAAGACAGCCAGGAATTCCACCAGAAGTAGAGCAGCCCTCCAGCACGCTCGCTGTGTTTTGCATTGCACTAGAAATCCCGAGCCTGCCGCGTTGGCCTCTGAATCCACAAGGACATGCAAATCCAAAGACAGTTCTGATAACTGGTGACAACGCAGGAGTTTCTACCAGTGGCTGTGTCTGTCATCAGCTGGAAGTAAATGAATACTGAGTATGTATAAATGGATAAAGAGCTTGCACTCCAGATGTGCTCTTAATGCACACAATATACTCCACCCAGCCCTGAAAAACAGCGTGTGTGTGACACTGCTGCAAGTGACACCACAGACTGTCCCTTGTTCTGATGTGCTGTAATTTCCTCAGATGTTTTTCTGCCCCTCTAGAAACACCACCACCACCACCATCCCCCCAACCCCTACCACCAGAGACCAGTACTTTATTTATATTTTTTTATTAAATTATTATTCTTCTGAACTCTGTACAATTTCTTCCATTTATTAAGTTAATTCCTACCCATCTATTAGTGTCCCTGCAGTCTCTCAGATCAGTTTTTGTAAACACACCCAAATTATTAAATACTGGACCGAACTCAAATAGAAACTGCCCTACTGGAATTAGGCAAAATGTTCTCTAGGTTTGATAGCAAACCATTTTTAATTATTTCCTGAACACAGATTTCTAGCAATTTTTCCTCCCAGCTTGTGAAATCTAGATCATATTACCCAGTTTATTTATGAAAATATCATATAGTACGGTATAAAAGCTATTCCTATTATCAAAATACTCTTATTTAACAGTCTTTCTAAAAGCTAGTGGGGTTACTCAGTAATTTAAAAAGGAAATTAGATACTTTCTCAAAGCCATTTGCATCAAATGAAATGTTTTAAAACAAAATTTTAAAATAAATTTTGTGGGTTTAATTTCATTAGTAAATAGTTTGTTCACATATTTCCAAGAAATATTATAACTTAACTAGATAATTAGAGTAACTGGTCTAGACACTCTAGTCTCTTTTTCTCTGTTTTCCCTGTTAAAAACAAGTACAGTAGATAATAATGTTTAACTTTGATCTTACATTTTGGTTTCCTGACCAAAGTTACAGTCTAAGTTAATTAAAACTGAATTTGTATGGGAAATAAATGCGTGCCAGGCACAAGTTATAAATGAAAAGCTAAAAGAATGTGAAGAATTTAAACTAACCCATCAGTAAAGTGAATCAGTAAGCTTAGAGTTTAAAATTCCATAAAATTGGTAACTTTTAGTTTAATGCCAATTTTAGACACTACTAATGTGAAACAGACCAAACGGGCAGCCAGCAATTTGATAGAGTATCTTCATAAGTGAGCAACCTGGAAGTTTTTCAAATTCCAAATTATTCAACTGCCTGTCAGAAAAGAGTCCCTACTTTTTAAAAGGCATTACATATAACATATAACAAGATTGGGTTATATGCAGTCAGTTCAAGAAATGCATGAAATATGAATCACCACTAGATTTCTGTAAGAACACAGGAAATGCCATACTGGCTCAGGCCAGAGTTTCATTTAGCATTCCCTCATTAGTGGTAGCCAGTGGCAGATGATTTTAGAGCAAGCATAACAATCCCACACTTGGCACATGTAGGCAGGGAAAAGCAGTACCCACAGCAGTATTCCACACTGAGCTATGAACTGAACACAGATACATCACACAGGGATTACCCACCTGGAATTTAACTGGTGTATTGTGAAATAAACATTTCTTAGAATCACACTATTAGAAGGTAAACATCCTTATTCTTGAGAAATGAATAAAAAAATATAGAGTACTGAAACCATTCAATGCCTTGATTGAACATTTTACCTATATACCAGCATTTCCATGGGAATTGTTCCTTAATACAAGGTATCATTTCTTTAGACTCTACAAAAGAATTCTACTGATACCTATTGCACTAACTAGGAAGACACATGAAGGCAGAATATCAAGCTTCCCTTTTCAGATCAATCACAATGAGACACTAGTCATTTGACAGAAATGCCTAACCATAAACACACTTTTACATTTTCTTTACAGATGTTATCCAGCCCGGGCTTACCTTCCATCGAGTACTTGAAGAAAAGGTTGTTAACATTGGTTACTGTTTCCCCATCCTCCTCTTGACTTCTGAGGGTGTGGATTCTTTTAATTAAGTCTTTGATAACTTCATTGACTCCTTCAGAGTAAAAAGCCACATCTTCAGGTTTCAGAATTTTTTGCCTCAGTACACTTCTCATTTTTAGCCATTGTTCACCTTCCCTGAAAGAAATTATTAATGGTATCTATACACAACTTTCCTTAACAATCATCAGCTGGGTAAAAGCTCTGCAATGAAGCTTTGTGATTTTTCATTGCAAATAAAAGCAAGTGGTAAAATGAAAATGAAAATAATGTATATTTGTAATTATGCTCCTACATTTTTATCCTGCATTTATTGCATATCCTCATTAAATTTCAGTGTTGCAACATGTATGTGCAGGTGTAAGTCAATCTCTGGTTTGAGTGACAGCTGGCACCATAAATTCCATTACTGATACATCACTTTGGGCTACCCTCATTCTAAACCTACAAAGTAACAGGATAGCAGACCTATCTATAGAAAAACAAGTTATAGCTAAATTCTCCTTTAGCTGAGCTATGCATGGAAACCTTCATGCTCAAGGCTAAAAATCTGAATTGTACCATCTGCACGATGCTCTGTATGAGCAGAGTATTTGGGAACAGGGATACCTTTCAATTCCTCATGAAAATAGGTAATTGTCTTTTATGTGTCTATTTTAAATTGTTATGTATTTCCCCTTATTTTTTTTCACCTGGAGCAATACTGCTGCAAAGCACAGAAATTTATTGATCAGCAAAATAATTTATCTCTTTAATAATCTCAGATATTTTCTGATTATCTCCTGATTTAAGGTATGACTTCACAAAGTATCAAAGAACTGTTATCTTGAGTGGGAACTGCAGCTTTAGATTTGAGCCTGCAGTGCAATACATTAAGCCTCTTGCTACCATGAAAGAAACAGATTGTCCATGACTCAGAAAATTAGTTTCCCGCTAGATAAACATCCTATGTCTGTGGGGACTGTGAGTAGTTGCCAGTGGCAATTAACTACACCCACATGTACTGCCAGGTTATGCAAGCTTTAAAGACAGATAACTCCTCTAGAATCAGCCATGTACAAAAATATCTGCACGAGGATGCACCACAGTGTGAATTGATCATACTGTGACTTCTCTGCATTAATGCACTGAGGGCGCACTTTGGTGAACAATAAAACTAAAACTAATCTGAGCAAACAAGTCCACACAGTACACCTACAACCAGATGCAACAGTCTAGATCTGAAGCAATAAACCCACATTTGTGCAGTGCAGAGCCAAAGTTAGTAAGCCCTGTTCTGCAAAACAGCTTGCAGGTGAGTCAGTTCAGATAACTCTATTTGAAACACATTCCCAAAGAAAGTCTTATGCAAGGTAGCTCCCTGCACATTCAAACTACCCATCATTACCATCTCTTGGAAACTTCACAATACAGGGAAATTCACAGCATTCACCACAAATTCCTGCCGTCTTTCCCCCACTAACCACACGATTTTCCACACACAGAAAAGCCTGATTTCCCAGATGACCTGTACAGTCCTTCAGAAAATGAGCAAACTTTTACAAGAAAATAAAGAAAATTAAGGGGTAACAATACTTACGCAGAAATAAGCCCTGTGGCTCTCCCTCGTAAATCCCTGTACTCCTGCCAGGATTCCATGTTAGCTCTTTGTGGTGCTCTACCTTCTGCTCGCAGGACTTGAGCAACCATGTCTCGATCTGCAATGGATACAACAAACTGGGGACCAAAGTGAGACTTGAAGATCTTTCCATATTCCTGAGTGTGTTTTTGCTACAATGTCACCAACAAAGAGAAACAGAAGTCAAGTGTTACTAAGGAAAACTATCACAAAAGGAAACCGACAATTTGTCATACAGTGAATCGATCTCTCACATTTAGAATTTGATCCTCAGCCTTTCAGTCAAGGAACAGTTTGAAGTGTCAGAAGAAAGCATCTAAGAATTACTGTGAAATATTCAGAAGGAAAACAGAGAGGTCACACTGTTCAGGACCTCTGACTGAAAAGACCCAAAGCTCTAAGGCACAAAGCGTGAGTGAAACCAAACACTGAGAAGATGAAAGGACTTGCGGCACTTGAAAACACATCCCTTCAGATCAAACAGGTTAGAAAGAATGTCTCCAAAAATGAAAAACATGTGGGTACATAGGGTTAAATTAATGCCTATTGTAAATAAATACTTACTCTATCATTGTATTGCTTATAGAAAACCCCTACGTGTGAGTTTCTCACACCTAACTGAGGACAATGACAGCGCAACAGCCTAGTGAAAAACTGCATTTTGGGACAGCTTTGTCAGAGTAAACTAGAGAAAGACTTATGTTAATTCTGCAAAAGAAAGGAAAAGGTAAGCTCTTATTCCTGCAGTGAGATATATTGTGCTTGATCCACAAATCATATGATTCAAGCAACAGGCAATTAATAAAGAGGATAGGAAAACATTAAATTATGTATAAAAAAAAAAGAAACCCAAAAAGTTTTCCAGTAAGATTGCACTATCACCGTCCCATGAAATCTTACTGATTATTTCAAATAAATTTCGTTCTGACATGGTCATAAAGTGAAACAAAATTCCCACAAATTCACTTGGAGTTTAGATACGTCATCATGTCAGAGGGGAAAAAAAGTTATTCAAAAGATATTAAGACTTCAGAATTAAATTTTACAGTCTTTATTTCTGGTTATAGTATTAAGACAAGCTAAACTGAACAAAGTTTATGCCAAAGACATCTGCTTACAGAGATGTCTTAAACCAGAGATGTTTGACACCAACTACACTAGTGAAAGTCTAGTGTTGACCCAAGATTAGTTTATGTAAAGTACATTTTTATTCAGTCTTGATTACAGAGATGAATTGCTTAATTGCCTATAATAAGCTTAAGACTCATGAATCATTCTTCAGAATATGGTACCAAGTGCTTAAAAAAAATATAACTTTTTCTGCCTGGTTTCCAAATAAAACAAGATTTGTGCAATTGTGGTCTCTGCCAGTCACTTCTTTTGGAACACAGTGGCCAACTTCAGTCTGGTTTAAACAGAGTTAAAGGTCTCCTACATCGATATTCTTACCCTTTTCAAAAATCAGCATCTGGATTCGAATGAAACCCACATATTAGTCATCCTGATGAGGGAAATGCTACAGCAGAAATTCAGTTGTTGTCATTTCTGCTTGATCTGCTCCTAACCAAACACCACAGGTAGAGGAATGTGTGAACAAGCATACCCAAAACCCAAAGTATTTCTTGCCTTAAAGATATTTTAGGGATACTGAACTTGGAGATAATTGAGAGCATGCATCTTTAAAGGAAAGCATAAATCGGGAGGTGAGAGACGCAAGGAAAAATCAGTGGAGTGAGGGAAATACAGGTCACCAGTCATAGAAAAACAGTTTCAACAAATTTTCCTATTTATGGAGCAGTTTGTTTTTTCCCCCTGTTGGTGAGGTTTACATGGGACAATAAATTTTGACAGTAAATAAATCAAGTGTCAAGCTATTCAATCAAATAAATTAAATACTAGTTTTAAACCAGAAACAGATAGGGACAAACTATTTGGACATCTCTTGCTTTCAATAGACTGAACTCCGTTCTATCAACTTCATGTCTAATGAAATGCCCAGGATTTCTCTTTTGTATTTTCTTTCACAACATGAGTTTTTCTTTCCCTTGTTCTAAACCTTAAAAATATTACACTCTAGTGCCTCACATAGCAATCTCACACCAGTTATCCTCTCACACATCATAAATTAAAACTGCCAGCACCCAAATCCCTCCCTCCTCACCTTTCTTTTCTTTACACTTGCATAGAACTGATAAGACAAAAGAGATCTAACTCCATCAAATTAAGAATACTTTCCCTTTGTCATAATTGCTGTAGGCGAGACTAACTGGAATCACGTTACTGAGAACAGAACCTCCTTTGTGAAAAAGCACCCGGCTCCCCCACCCCTCCTGGATATAGGGCAAAAATATTTGTGTGCGCTGAAGGACGTCGTCTAAGTAGCTGTGCTGGTTACCAAAGGGTTTTGGATTAATTCATTCCTGATGTTCACTGTATTGTTAAATTTAACAGACTCTTATTAATCCAGTTAATGCCTATTTGCATTCTGCATGTATGCAGACAGGGTATCCTGTGATTTTTTGAGACTTTAAACAGAATAAAAACTAGTATTATATTGCAACTTATAATTCCTCACACTTTCCTTTCTGTGAATAATATTCATTGAAGAAGAAAACAGACATATCAGCCAGTGATAGTGAAAAGCATATACTATTTAGGTTGCCTTACATTCCCTTTAATATTTTGAATAATTTTCACTGTTTTGACAGTGAAAGAACTTGAAACCAATGGTAGCATCCATCTTTTTTAGTGTTATGAGACCATGGTGAGTGCCCCTCAAATTCTGTACACCACCACAGAGGTAGAGAAGAAAAAGAAATAGAATGAAACAAAAGCTTTAGATGACCTGAAGTTTCATCTGCATGCATCTTAGTTAGCAAGCAATCAAGCTGAACAATTAATCATTAGCAATTTAGTTTGGCTGCCATCAAACACAGCATACACCCAGGAGTCCTACATTTCTTCTTAAAAATCAAAATGGTAAATACAACAAAGCTGGGCAAAATCAAGCAACTTTTGTGTTTTTTTTCTGTTTCCTCCCTCTTTCTAGCATTTTCGGGCCTTTTGTAAATCTTAACTTTCCAGTTTTGATTCTCAAACCAAAGTTCTTTTTTCTTTTGTTTTCCTTTTCTGTTTTTATTTCCCTTTCTCTTTTTTGTTTGTTTGTTTGTTTTGTTTTTTTCTTAAATTTCAGCAGTTGTCAGGCAGTGAACCTCTTGCAGCTGACTCTGAATCTCTTTCTAGCAATTTGGGAAAGGTCACTAAGAAAAGCAAAATAATAAGTGCCACATCTGAGGTATTCCCAGAGAAATCTGTACTGCCAGTGGAAAGCATTACAGATCCACAGCTGCAAAAGAGTGAAAACCATAGCTTTACTTTACACGCAAGTGTTTCCTTTAGAATCGCTTAGACTACGTGGGGAAAGGGCCCCAGGAGATGCACTGTGACTTTTTAGGAATGAAACCCACGTTCGACCAAGCAACCAAGAGAATTCATCTCTGGATAGCTACAGGCTTACAGTAAGACTGTTGCCCATGCCAGCATCCCCGAGGGGGATCCTTGTCCACCCAACTCCCTCAGTCCCTCGCAGGGATGACGGCGCCTCACCCACCCTCGCCAGGTGCCACCGGGGAAGAGGACACTCTTTGATCTGTGTGGCACCACAGCAGCGGAGATGCCCAAACCAGGGGACACTTCTCACCCCCGCCTGGCTCTGGTTCGTTTGACCGTCTCCCACCCGCCAGGTGACAGGAGCCGCTCTCCGCCCTCCCTCCTCCCCTCCCGCCGTCAATCCGGCCCCGCTTCCCCACCGCCCACTCCCCTCCCCGGCGCCAGCGTGGTGGCCAGGGGAGGGGGTGGCAGGGCGGGCAGCGCCAGCCGCCGCCATTCCCAGCCCCTTGTCCCACATCCCCGGGAGGTTTCAAACCGCCCGCCTCCTGCCGAAGGGACGGCAGCGGGGCCAGGCGCAACTACCGCCCCCTCGGGGGATCTGCATGGGCAAAGTGTATTTATGTAAGGGGAGGCTGGAGTAGGAGAAACAAAATGGTCTCTGAATGCAGCGGAGCAGCGCCCCGGCCGCGGCAGGACCCCGGGTACCGGCACAGCCTCACGGCACGGGTGGGCGCTGCGGTACGAAATTCCACGGGAGCCCACGCTTCCCAGCCCTGCTCACCAAAAATAAGCCCTCTGCAAGTTTGTGAAACAGCCCTGTTAAAAAAAAAAAAAAAAAAAGCCTTTTTTTTATTATTATTATTTTTTCCTTTCAGCCCGAGGCGCCGCCTCAGCGGTTCACAACGCGCACAAAGATGCGCGGGCAGCGCTTGCAGCCCGGGGGTTCCGGAGCGGGAGGCACCGGGGCGCGGGGGCAGCGTGTGATCCCCGGCGAAACAAAACTGCCAAAGCCTCCAGCGCTGCGGGAAACGGGATGGGGGGATCCCCTGAATCCCGGCTCTCACCAGCGCGAAGGCGGCGCGGCGATGCCCATCAGCGGTGCTGCGAACGCGGTGATTGACCCGGTGAGAAAAGTAAAGGTTTTAAGTAACCCTGGAGTGATTAAAGCGTTAAGTAGGCGAGTGAGCTGTACCTGGATTTCATGAATGCGGCCGAAGCCGTCCTTCCAGAAGAACTCGTAGAGGTTGTAGAGGGTGTTGGGTCCGGGCATTTCGTGCAGGCTTTTCACCCTGCCCAGGCGGCGCCGGGGGGCCTCCAGCAGCTCCGCTCCGCGCCCTTCGCCTTTGTTCGCCGCCTCTTCCCGCGGGCTGCTCCGCACCGCCAGGGACTGGCTGCTGCACAGTCTGGCCAGTCCAGGAAACCTACTGCTGGCAAAAAGCGCCTGGTAAAAGTAAGTCCTCTCGGATTCAATCGTCTGCTTGCATTTCATCGTCAAAACTCTTGCGGAGAAAGACATGGTTTTTTAATTTCAGAGGGGTCAACTTTGCTCCTGCAGCTGCTTTTTATTTGGTTGGTCTTTCTTCAGTGCCTGCTTTAACTTGTACAAGCAGCACTTCTCCAAACTCTTACTGCATGAGCATCAGTTTACACAGACCATTAGTTAACGCTCCCTCCCCTAGGGCTGGAAAAGGGGGGTGGGTCTGGGATGAGACTTGAATGGAACGAACCTATTATTTTGTATAATTCAAAACAGATAAATTTACCCATTATATATGCAGCCAAAGTTCAGTTTTTCCCTCTTTTCCTGATTAGTTTGGCAAAAAGCTCATCCCATCTTTCTCCTACACTAAAAAGGTGGCATTAGGGCTATTTTTTTCTGGGGCATTAATTCATTCCTGTATGTTAGAAAATAGGGTATTTTCTGCAAGAAGTTCTCTTAGAACTATTCATCATCCCATCACATACATGAAAAACATTTGTGCATCCACATGTGAGTAGCAATGGTTTTACACAATAACCTTACAAACAGCTCCTGTCAACTACAGTATGCAGGGATGCTGTTTGTATTGCATAATGATTTATCTTTTGGATGTGATATACTCCATAAGCAGCTTGTGTCAACTTTGTAGGAGTCTGTACGGTTTCAAAAGTGTTTGTGTTGTTTTCATGTGTATTTCTGTGTAATTCCAAATGTTAAATTCCAAATCTGTTAAATGTTGATTAGTTTCAGAAATTATGTGGAAGAGCCCACCTTGTTTTTTAAATGAATCAGAAGTTCAGGTAAAACTTGAGGAAAAAAGAGTCTCAAGTAAAATCCACGTTTTTAGAACTTAGTTATGAATAAACTGCTGGAAAAGTAAGTCTAGTAAACTTTGAAGTTAATAGATTTTGTTTTCCTTATTTATCTTCATTTATATTTTTGAGGCTGCAATCCAGTTAAGATCTGTGCACATGTTTACTCTTGCCACTGATAACTCCATTGAAATAAATACTGAGAAGTTAGACAGGCACATCAGTCTTTATAAATGCAACTGTAAATATTACAAGAATAAAAAGTAGATGGCAAAGTCTTAAAATCTGCTGAAGTATATGCTGGCATAAGCTAACATAATGTCTTTGAAATGGGCTTCATCATACTTGAAAGGGTCCAGAGAACAGCAACAGAAAAAAAAATTGAGAAGGTTTAAAAAAATTATACAAGCATGAGGTTAAGAAACTTATTTCATCTGGAAAAGAGGACTACCAGGACCATGACAACAGCCTACAGATCTTTTGTACATCTTTTGTTAAAGATGTCAGAGAGAGAAACATAAAATGATGGGCTTAGTTCACTGCTACAGATTTCTGGTTACTTTTTCAGGTAGCCTTGGTACCTCAGATATTTTTGGGATGTCTCAGGTAGATAGCCAAGGTACTGCAGGATGTAATTGCTATCATGGAACTTCCTAAGAACTTCATAAGAACCTCTGTCAGGCACATCTGGGTGTATCACAGTCTAGGTTACCGCTGAAGTTTTCCTTCTTAGGTTTCTATGTGGTGTAGCTACATTGTTTCTTAATATTGGTCTAAGGATGCTTTGAGAGACACAGTTACACAGACTTTAAAATTATATTCATATTGTAATTTCTAGATTGCTGGAGGGAATATACGAACTCTTCCTAAAAACTCCTGCTTGCAGCTATCACTATGGTAGATTTTTTTATTATTATTTTGTCATACACCATTAGGATAGTGTAAAGCATCTGCTTGTATTAATATGCTAGGGAGATAAACTTAGATACAGCATGTTGTAAAGGCTACAGTTTTGCAACTATTGTAGTTTTCTCTGGGTGTACCTTTTTCCAGTAAATTCCCTATTTAGAATTCTTCACTATTCACTATTTTCCCACCATTATCTCTTTTCCATCAAAATTATTGTAGGACAGAGTATTTCTATCCAAGATACCTGAAAAAGTTGCAGAGGTTTTGTCCTTTAAGTACTTCACCAGAACAGTACCTGCTTTCCCCCTGAGGAATTTCTGGAGGTGGCAGTAGTCCCAAGTTTAGGGACTGTGTTGTATAACCCCACTGGCACTCGGTGTTTCAAGTGGTTTACTCATTGTTAGATTTCTGTTTGTTTGCATGTTCATGTTACTTGGAAGATAAATATTTCTCTCCAGCTTATACATTTATCAGATGTCTTAACACTGACCAGAAACACACTTACAGTTTTTAAAATATAAACAATGACATTTGTCTCAGCCTGTTGGTCATTGGAGTCTGAAAATATTTTTTTATGTAACAAGTCAGTTGTGTCTTTTGTTATTTCAAACAAGTTGGAGCACATGCCCCTTCACAGCAGACATGCTTCAGTTTTAGTTAACTTTTGTTATGTAATGGGATCATAATATCAACTAAACTTGGCTATTCAGATTATGTGTTATTTTTGGATAACTTGTCTTCAAATCCACAGTCATGCTGTTCTCTCAGTCTAGACCCCCTAATGGTCTGATTAACTGTACTTTGTTACCTTCATTAATTATTTCTAAATCCAATTTAAACTTGCTCTCCTCTTTGCTTGAACTCTGACAAAGTTCAGTTGAACCTCTTTGTGTCAATAACACCAGTATTCAGAGTCAATGGCTACATTATCATCTTACCAGGAATTCTGGGTTTTTTAGAATTATTATTTTAGAATTATTCTCTTGGCTATATCTGGCTTGTAATTATTTGAACATCATTTTATGATATCCAGTATAATAAATATTGTACTGTTTTATGTCACTGTTTAAATAGCTAGAAGTATAAATCATCTACAAATACAATTTATGGAAGTAAAAGAGAGTTGATCAGAGGCATTTAACTTTGCCCAAGTAACACCCTCAGCTAAGACTACACAGACAGGCTCTTCAGAACATTTGTAAGGAAGAAAAGCTGAAGCAATGTAAGCAAAAATTTTCAGTGTAGTTTAAAACATCTCTTCACTAAAAAAGCCATAGTTAGTCACGATTTTTGCCATTTCTGACTGTCCTCAAAACCCATCTTCTGAAAGATCTTTTCAAGTTGTGAAGTTACTCCTTCGGAATTTTAAATGCTTTCTAAAATTCCCATGCATTTTCCTGAAAGGGGAAAAAATTTGAACTTAACATGCAAAATACTAATTGAATATGAAGATAATTAAATCAGAAAAAGCTAACAGTGCCTGGTGTTGATAGCACTTAACAAAACCCCCATGAACCAACTGTAAAGAATTCAGCTCTACTTGTAGACTTCTCATAGGTTTAGATCCTTGCCCTGTGATTCTTATGGTGTACGACGCCACAGTTATCCTGAGAACTTGCCTTGAAGTCCCATGTTTTTAAACACACTAGAAAGAAGTATGGCACTACTAAAAATTATGACCATCAGGAGGTGTAAGGAGCCAGTCTTTGCTGAGCTGTAACGCTGCTGAAACACCACCCCGTGGTCACTGTGCCCTTTTAGTCTAGAAGGTCATTTTGATGAGTAGCAGCATCACCCTTCAAGCTTTTATGCCTTCATACAGACACTCTTGGTTTGCCACAAGGATGAAGAGCACGTAAGCACAAGCTTCTGGTACAGGTGCTACCTTGTGCAGCAGCGACTCATCTGCAGTGAGTAAATGCACACCAGTCTGCCACTTGCAGCTTCAGTCTGGAGTAACAGCAGGTGGTAATTACTGCAGTTAATCATATCAAAGTAATTAATCCTACAGTTTGAACACCAAGATGCTATCACTGATGCACGGAGTCATTCATACCTCGTAAAATTACTGTGCTTTACTTGATGGTGCATGTACTGCATCCCACACAGACCCATTACTTAGAAGAGTAAGATCATTAGTCATCATGGCCATGATTTACTACACAAGAACTAGAGCGCTGTCCTAAATCCAGCTACTATTAGTACCACAATTACAGAAATCAATATTAAACCATTTCCACATTTAGTAGGTTTTTTTCCAAGTGTATGAAGGGTGCAGAATAGTTCCAAAGCAATTCATAAAGCGTGTTAAGAAAGAATTATGCAGAGGGACACTGGCTGACTTGCTCAGCTATCTCACTGTCACAGGCCCCTCCCATTATACTAAATTATCATTTTGCTACTAACTGATGCCACCTCAGCTGGTCCAAACTACTATCAGAACTAAATAATGCTTTAAACTGGGGAGAGGAAATCAGCACCACAATACTGCACATTCATCTCTTCCTTATAAGCCACTCAAGCACTGGCTGGTTCCAGTTTGTGAGGCAGAAGACTCAGCACAAGAGAAAGAACCATGTGTTACAGGGTAGGGGCTCTGAGCCCAGAGTTTAAACTGAAGCAATTCAGTTCCCTTTTCAAAATTACCTGATTCTCAGACTGAAAACAAGCACCAGCTCTTCTGAATTCTGCTTCCAGTATTTCCACACTCTCAATTTGTGAATTCATGCTAATAAGAAACAGAATCGGTGTTTTTCTGAAGAATGTTTGTCAATTAACCAGGATAGCCTTACCATACATGCTCCTTCCAGTATGGTAAATATTTATACTAACCTAGTTTGAACCAACACATCAAGATCAACCTTCTTTCATAGGTTGTTCCTAAAGCTCTATCAGCAAAAACCCTCCACCTCATAATAGAACGCCAAGTAGTGTAACTGTTACAGCATTAAGCAGATGTTATTTAAAAAGCATTCTTCTGCCACAAACCACCACCATTTCTCCTCTAATTTTCTAGAATTATATTGCAGTCTTCATTAAAAAAAACGCAAACTCAGTAATCTTTCCTTCATGCATTCTTCCAACTCACCTTGTTAAGAAGTCAAAATGCTTTTTGATTCAGTAATAACTTCTGTGGTGACACTGCACTGTTTAGCAGTTACGATGGTTTTATTGCATGGTTAATAAATAGAATATAAATGACAAGGGAAACAACTTTTATTTTAGCAACAGTAAGAAGAAAATGAGGAAAACAGAGCATAGACTTTATTTGTATTTACTAATGCTTTCCTTAAGTTTACTTTGGAAAGAGTCTCTCTCTTTCTTGTCCTCAAACTTCAAAATATTTCTGACCAATTTGTTAGAATTTTAAGACAGGTTAAGTCGCAAGTATAAATTAGCTCCCAGTTTAAAAATATTATATAAAGTGCTCCTTCCAGGGTTTGTTCAGCTCAATGAATGATTTTTATTTAAGCATTTAAAAAAACAGTATTTTGTTGAGCAAACACAATAATCAGATAAATAATATTTCAAACATCAGTATAAACTTCATTTACAAAACCTTTTCAGAATTCTTCTGAAAAAGAGTCTTCAGCTGATAAAAATAAAATCTATTAATTACCCTGAAAACCAGACAGGTATAACCAGGATCCAATCACTGGATAGTATTCCTGTGGTAAGATTTAGTTCCTTCTTTCCTTTCACATTCATCCATGTGAGCACATAATTTTGCTAAGTAAATATGTGGCTATACAGAGTCATATAAAAAAATTCTTTTAAAGGACCTGTCAGAAATTTCAATTCCATCTTTTCAGTTAAGGAAGCAGGTGTACGGATCCACAGTTTTAACAAAATGCACACGTGGAGGGCATCACTTTCGGAAGCGTTTGAACAGCGGGTGGATGTGTTTATTTGTAGATGCCTTACTCCGTGAGGAATGGTATTCCATGTAAACAGTGTCATCTGCTCCAGACATCGAGCTCATTGTGCCTGTTCGACGGGACACCTGCAGGTTCAAGGAGAATTGGCACGTTCTTAGTGTGTGATCAGACCAGCTCTAACCTACTGACACCCACTGGCTACTGGGCAGCACTGCCCATTGAGTGACCCTAATGCCAAAAAGCCTTACAAGTTCTTCTATTGAACAAAAGTGGCCCTTATGCTTCTGCACTCTGGGCATGAGGAAATGAGGGCATGATTCAAGGAGCATAGTGCCACACAAAAAAAAGTATATGCTGTGACATATTTGTATCCTAAAGTTTTAAAAAATATTTTCATTGCATGTGACTTAGGAGATACACGGGAAGATCTGTAACAATAGATGTGTCATCATCTCCTTCAAATATGATGGAGGACATTAATTCCATATCAAATTTCTTCCTAGTGCTCAAAAAGTGAATTATTCCAATAGCTAAAAGCTAATGCAGCTTAAAAAATAAATCTGTTCTCTAATGTTTCATAAAAGATACCAGGTCTAATGCTGTCTAATGACAGCATTACACACAGAACTGGAAGAAATTAAATGGTCCAGTTCTGTCCCATCTGTGGACATCCTTTTCAGAGAATTCATTACCTGAGCTGACTTTGAACCATACTCTCCAGCAACTACTTCCTCCTCAGCATCCAGGTCAGATGCTTGCAGGACTTTCTGGAGAAGCTGCTGCTGTTCTTCTTTGGTTGAAAATGAAAGTTCTTCTTCCTCCATGCCTGCCAGCTTTGTTATTACCTAAGAAATAGAGCACAGTACAACGTGAGGGCTCTTCCTCCTCATTGTTAGCTATTCAAAACCAAGACAAGGATTTCTGATTCCATATCCTGTTGGAACTGTCTTTGACTTTTATTAATGGTCTAAACAGCTTAACACTACAGACAGCACAGATACATATAAAATCTTACTCAGTGGTGTACATATACATACATATAGCTGGAAATGAAAAATACAAACCTTTGGAGGAAGAAAAAAGAAAAGAAAACAGAAAAGCTCTGGGCAAATGGATGTCAGCTATTTGTATCTGTCCCCACAGATGAAAAAACAAGACTGGAACAGTTCTTGCTTGCGAGAAAAACCTCCATTAATGCATTCCATGACCAGAATTCTTAAATATTTGATCTAATACTAACATGAATGAATATGAAAATTAGGCTCCAAGTATAATAAATGGCAGGGCCAAGTTACCTTGAAGCTGTAACCCTGATCTACAAGGAACCGTTGCCGTTTTGTTGAGTATGCCATTTCCTGAGTGTCTTGGGATACAAGAGAATAAAAAAAGGCATTGTATTCCTCTGCAACCATGCCTAGGACACAAAATCATTCAGTGATTAGTAACAAAGAACAAAAAAGGAATAAATGCTAAAAATAGGTGTTTAAATAAGTTGTCTCCACAAAAACTATTTGCAAAGTTTAGCTGCACCCAGACCTTGCATAAACTGATTGACACAGCATAGGAACTCCTACTCTTGTTCTTAATAATTGAGAATAGGTGAAAAAGAAAAAAAGGAAAAGGAAAAGGAAATGCGGATTAACACAATCATACAGGTGCTCTGAGAAGAACCTGGTTCTTTATTCTGCTAGGCAAAGTGAAAGATAAAATTATTTTTAAGTCTATTATGTAAAGAAGCAGGCAAAAGCAATGCATGTCAAAAAAGCTTAATAAAGAGACAAAGGGAAAGTTTTATCCATGTAAACCAAAGTTTGCAATGTTTTTGTATTAAAATAAGTAAGACAAAAATACTTAGCTAAGAATTCATAGGGCTATCTGAAGTCCAGGATGTACCAGGGCTGCTTATCATTTATTTTTTTTTAACTTAATTTTCTTTCAGCTTTCCTTTTTCCTTTGGAAGTTTTCCCATCACTAAGCTTTACTGACCCAGAAGATGCTTCATATATTCATTCACTGGTATGTAGGCATACTCTCTTTGACTAAAACGTAATCCAAGGAGGATATAAAGAAACACCAAGAACATCCAGTGTCTCTGCTGCTCTAGGATACTATGATCCAAGGCCCAGAGCCCAACCACCATCTCCTTTACCTTTTTTGGCTCTCAGCACTCGTCCCAGCCTTTGAGCCTCCTGCCTTCGTGACCCACCATGGGATGAAATCTGGATGAGAACATTGGCTTCTGGCAGATCGAAGGACGTGTCACCCACCTACAACAGAGCAACAGCCTCTAAGAAAGATCTTAATTCCACATATCACCAACAAACAATAAATACAAAGCACACCTTTCTTTGTGAGCTGCAATATGAAGATGTCAAATGCACACCATGCATGTGTAACTTAAATAAAGCTGACTCTGAAAACAGGTACGAGGATGCAGCGCATGTCCTCACTTACCTTGGAAATGAAAATAGTGTTGATTTTTGGATTGTGCTTGAAGTTTTGTAGAATTTGCATTCTTTCCCCCTGTGCAGTAGGGCCATATATATAGGGTCTGAAAAGAACAAAACATATGCAAATGAAACAAAATCAAGATTTCTCCCTCATTTTGTATGAGGTACCATGGCAGGGAGAACAGTACACATTTGAACAGATACAAAACCAAAACATTTTGGTACAGCTTTCAGTTTACTTTTAACTTGTTTGGCTCTTCATGGCAGCTGCCCAGTGGTTTGTAGAACCCTCTGCAGCGAACCAGTCAGCCAGAAATTCTGACTGTCACAAGTGTTTTGCAATTATGAGCACCAATGAAGCTGTATATAAACAGATCGAATACATTTGCTAAGCCTACATGAAAGACTGAAGGCAGCTGTTAAAATAAAGAGATTTTTTTCCTCAAATGTACTGAGTTAGCACAGTGACAGCTGCAACCTTTGCTTCCTATTTAAACACTTGAAAATCCAGGCTTCTCTACCAAGGATACAGTGAGTGTCATAAACTGGGGCTGGATGTTGTTCTGGGAAAATTATTGTTGCTTTTAAAGCTAACCTCTTGCCCCTTCTAATACCTTCTGGGCCTGAGAACAAGGTCCCAAACATTCCATGAGCAGCTCACAGTGGCATTTCACCTAAGGTTTCTAACATTTGACAATGAATCCCATGGAACAGTCGGTATCTCTATCCTGAAGGTTCACACAAACTCTCAGTTGCCCACAGACTTCGTGAGTAACTTAAGACTAGTCTGAATTTCCCAGGGTCTGGCTGTTTTCAGAACAGAGCTGAAAAAACTAAAAAGCTTGAAACAGCAAAGCCCACACACACACACACACACAAAAAAAAAAAAGGCATGCAGGACAGCACTGCTTTGTCATCTGTTGCACTACTTTTCCAAGTGCTGGTTAACAAGCATTTCCAAACAACAGGAATCAAGTTCTACAGTTTCTATTTTGTTCACATTTCCATAGGTTATTTCTAACACAAGGAATCAAGTTCAATTTTTTCATTTAACATTTAATATTGTACATACATGAATGGCAGCTGAACATAAACATGCAGTGCATAGTACTAAGGTTTTCTATTCTTATCAACTAATTCCTGTGCATTGGCTCCTCTTACTGTCTTTACTACAAACTTTATTCTAGTTTGGGTTTTTTTAGCAAAAAATCCTAGTCACTTCTAATCTAATTTTTCTATTTAGTGTACTTAACCAGGTATTTAGAAAAATACAGCTAAAAACTGAAGGTGGCAAATGAGTTAACTCTGAAAAAATACCATTACTACTCAATTAGTAGCATTCACTAATATTTTAAGTATCCTTTTAAATTTCATTTATTATTTAGATTGTAATGGTTTTAATCCCCAAAACTTAAATGGTAGATTTAAACTGAAACTAAAGCATTTGTGAGCCTTTCTTTTCTTAAGGTCACCAAGAAGGGATTCAAAGACGTTTTATATTAAGAACAGAAAAACCCCAAGCTCCTGGCTACCAATCCTCCATTTTAAAATGCCCAGATTCTACTTGACAATGATTCATTGACACAGAGCTAAGTACTTTCCTGAACCTAGAAACATTCAATGCTAGATGGATTTTATTTTTAATGACTCATTTTCCTCACTGCAAAAAGACATTTGAGAGATTTGCAAAGATAGATCCCTCTCCCATTAACTGACAAAACCACAGAGGCACAGTCCTTCAGAAATAGTGATTTAAACATAGTTCTAACACCAGTAAAAAGCAGCCAGCACATGAGCTCTTCTATACTGGATGACAGACTCATGACAGAGGAAAAGTTGGCTAAGCAAATTTGAATTCTACGGCCCCAAAAATTACAGTCAAAATAATTCCTGTCATGTGTGTGGTTTTTCCCTGACGGTTCCCCAGTACGGAAGGAAGGGAGTTAAGGGAGGAGTCAGCAGTAACAGCCAGACCGTGGCTACCTCTCTGTCCATCCAGAAGCCCACCCACCCTGCATCCTTCCATGAGAAGTGCAGTGGGAACTGTGCTCCCGCCCTCTGCACAGCACTCACCCCTACGTGCTGAGCTGCTCTCCTCAGCACACAGGTAATTCCTGCCCCACCCAAAACAACAGTTCCCTTTCTTTTAGCTGCTCACAGCAAATGATGATACAAATATCTCTGGTTAAAACAAAGACTCTCTCACCTTCATCCAGCACTGCAAGCCTCCTTTTTTGGTAACACTGACAGCCAGATAACCTGGAGCTCCATGAATGATGACAGAAACAGAGAATTCACTCAAGAACACCAAAAGGGAGCACCTACTATTTCTTTAACTGGTTTTCCTGCCACGCTTCTGTTGCATCTACCCCACTTACAACTGCTGTGCTATGTAGCATCACCCATCCCAGCATGCCCTTTGCTAAAGGCTTCGTGTTGCACTGAACACTGCTAGGGACATTCCAGAGGCATCATCACAGCTAATCTCTGTCCAGACAGATTAAAAAAATTATGAAAGAGACCACGGGTGTTGGAATTCATCCAGCACCATTAGCTCGGCTTGCTCTTTGATGTCACAGCACACCAGCACCACACGGCTCTTAAAATACACTCAGAACTGATCGTGAATTTTGGAAGTTGGAAAATGGAATTTGGAAAGTGTAAGACTTGTGTTTTGCTAAGAAGTACTGCTGAAATTCCTAGACATTAAATGATACACCTTCCAAATACCCCACAGCTTCCAGCAAGCAAGACATTCTTTGGGTTTGTCAAAGAACAGATGAGGCCAACTTCTATGCTTATGTTCCCCAATAATCTCTGTGCCTGATCCTGGCAAACTCTCCCTGATCATTCATACCCAAACCCTACAAACACACTGATGCTGACCCCTCATTAAACTCTATTTGTACAACCTTCCATAACTGCACTCATGTTACAGGCATTTAAGGTATCCACGAGCTCTCAGGAGAAATATACTCCTTTTGTTTATTAAACAATTACAACAGTTCTAGGCAGTGCACTGGTACAGCACACATCCCCAGAAAACTTGTCTTAGTTTTTTTAGACAGGGTTGAGACCTTTCGACAACCTCAAGAGGAAGGCCCTGGGTCCCAAAAGATCTTCAAAGATCCAGAGTGTGCATATTTGAAAACCTATGTCTCAGAGACAGGGGAAGCTACCATTCATTAGAGAAAACAGTTCTAGTGATATTTTTAGAAGCCCCTCCCTTTTCAACTGGATCATGATGAAGATGATGATAATAACAACAAAAATAATAACAGACGGAGAAATACTGTCCTTAACAGAAATATGGGATGTAAACTTCTCTGAAACAAGCGCTAAACAGAGATTCTTTTCAAACTGTTCTACACAGAAATAATGTTGCAGTGCCAGTAAGATCCATTCAAAAATACCCTCCTGAGCTCCTTTTTATACAGGAGGATTGGAATTAAAGCATTACAAGAAATATCAAAGACTATTGAAAGCTATGAGATTGCAAGGAAATTTTCATGGAAGGAAGAAAACAACAGTGCCATCATTGGTTGTGAACACTTACTTCCCAAGTCTGACTGCATATTCCTTCAGTGCAAACACATTGTCAGCAAATACGATGATTTTATCATTCCGTCGCTCATGAAACTTAATCAGGAACTGGCAGGCTCTGAATTTATTTGGGTTCATGGTGTACAGCAGTATCCTTTTCTTTGTTTTGATAGCTACATATTCTCTGTAAAATTCAGGTGACATCGGGCACCAGACCTACGATTAGAAAACACACACACATAAATTAACCCTCTGTTATTTACTCATTTTATTCCAGTGGGAATAGAAAAAATATTGGGATGATAATGGATTAGCACTTTCTGTATAGTGCAGGCCACAGGTTTTAACACAGTAATTTCTGTATCAAAATGAAAGCAACCAGTTGGTGTAGTCTCCAGCACTGCCAAAATCTGTTTAACCTCATCAACATTTCAGCCTTCCGAAATGCTTTGGTATTGAGATCAAAGACAGAAATAGGCAGTGGGACTGGAACAAGACTGAAAGATAGTTCCTTTATGTTTCATACTTAAGTAATCTAGTGAGCACTACTACTTGTTTAAGAGCAATCAAAGGAATGAACTGTCTGTATAATTTCCCTGTCACAGAAGTCAAAGCTTTTTCCATAAAAATTTTTATCCATATTCTGAAAGCTGAGATACATTTAGTCTTCATTACAGAACAAATTTGCCAATTTTTTTTCATATACCCACAAAGGAATGACCTTTATTTTAACAGCTAAAGTCTAGAACTTCCAAAACACTAGGAGTGATTAGAAGTTTTCAACAGACTTTCCTAAGCAATTATTTTATTATGTAAATAACTATCATAGTACTCCACTAGTCTAGGCATATTTTCTCTACTGTAGCATGAAAATAGAAGAAATTACGAAGTTTAAAAGTTTATGCCAATGATATTACCCTATCAATAGTATATAATCATATGATCCCTAGGGCATATAATTTAGAAAACATTCACTCTGCTGTATATGGGTTATTCCCCCATATCTATATTAACAAAATACTGCAGAGAAAAGTCTCTTTAATAACCACCATTCAGCTGAGGAAGTTAAGTGATAATTTGCAGTTTATTTAAACATAAATTGTTCTGTACTGTTAATAACTAATTTTTTGTTTCAAAACATTTTTTCCAGTGAGTTAAATGCTAGATTATGCGTTTTTCATTCCTTGACTACGTTAAAAATAAACTTATGCACTAAATAGGCTCTGTTGTTATCCTGTGCTGTCTGAATGAAAGACTTAAAACTCTTGAATCAGAAGGGAATTATATCAAAGTGGCAATGAGATATGAATACTGAATATCTGACTGCAGTAAAAAATTTCATCTATTGCTCAATACCTCTGACTACATGGCAAACCCAATATATTTTGTATTTGCATTCTCTTCTGGATTCAAAAATGGGTAAGATCTACTTC